CAACTAATAATCATACTAACATTCAATACGATAGCTACAACTCAACTAAAGAAGTTTTAAAAACGTTCCATTCTTAACAAGAAAATAAACTTAGGAACCGTTTGAAATGTCAAGGTTCCTTTTTCGAAAATGTTTCTAAATTCTCGCTATCAAAACTTAACGCAATCTGGTCGGTATCGCAATCAAAGCTACCAAAGAACATTTTCAACTTTACAATTCGCTATATAAATAATACCCTTCCTACCCGAAAGAACCTCAGTAGATGGGGAATTTCATCAAGTTCTGACTGCTCGTTCTGCTTACACCCTGAATCACTTCTACATGTTGTTGCCGGTTGTCAACATTACCTGGAACGATTTACTTGGAGACACGATTGCATACTAAACTTTCTTGCAAAAACTTTTCAAAGTTTAAACGAATGCAAATTACATGTTGATCTTCCTGGATTTGAAAGCCCCTCGATTATTACGGGAGATGAATATCGTCCTGATTTACTTGTCTCCACTTCAGACAAACACCTCTACGTCGTTGAACTTACCGTAGGCTTTGAATCAAACCTCACAAACAATGTTAACCGCAAGAAAGCTAAATATAAAAACCTAATTAGAGAACTGGATCAAAACTTTACATCTGTCAAATTTATAAATCTTTCTGTCAGTTCGCTAGGGGTGTTGACAAAGAATGTCATACATTCGTAAAAATGCTAAATGAGTTCGGACTGGATAATCAACACCAACAATATTGTATCAGAAAAATTATATCTATTGCCATCCGATCAACGTACTACATATTTTGCTGTAGAAATAAAGAATGGACAAATCCTGAACTAATGAACATTTAAAGTAACTATTTCTGTAAATAAGTAAAATTTTTGTATATAAAATTATAACCATGCACGTATAAGTGATTCAAGTAGTCAATTGTAGGTTACCTCAAGAAGTGAGATTTACAATTGAATGTATATATCTATAAATGTTCTATTAATAAAGTTTTCATTATTATTATTATTATTATTACTATTATTACTATTATTACTATTATTACTATTATTATTATTATTATTATTATTATTATTATTATTATTATTATTATTATTATTATACGAAGAGACTATCACAAGCACATATTCACAAACGTGTGACAGAAGATAAAGCAATGATGGTATGATGGTATTATTATTCTCATCATTAATAATTAGTTGGAAATGCTCTTCCCGAGAGCCGTGGACGTTAAAAATATATTAAAAGTATAATAGTTTTGTTTGTGGAAATACCACGTAAATTTATTACTGCAAAGTACGTTTTCGATCCGTAAGCCCGAATCTTCATCAGTGCTAAGCCGAGAAAATCAAAGCTGAAGTTTATGTAAATCAGGACAAATGTTTATCCGATTTACAAACATTGATTAAACATTCATTTCTTTTGTATTTTCCTCGTGAATTATTAATGAATTTCTTAAATATACATATTATTAGCACTGATGAAGATCCGGGCTTACGGATCGAAAGTTTTGCAGTAATAAATTTACGTGGTGTTTCCACAAACAAAACTATTATATATTTTATCGCCATGCAAACATACAAAGAACTTATATTAAAAGTAATAAGAAAAATCTACTATAAAACTGATACGCATTCCATAAAGCCAATTTACGATTTTTTTTTTAAGAAAATCGGCTTTATAGGAGCAACTATTTACACAGGAGCAACTAGTTACAAAAACATATCAGCTTAACAAACTTCAACGAGATTAATTTAATATATGTAACGTCTCACGGTTTGATCATATAACGCCAACTCTGAAGGGTTCACACTGGCTTCCAGCAAAGTTTAGAATATATTTCAAAATTCTACTAATTGCATGTTTTTAAAGCACTTCATGGATTGGCACCTGACTATATCTCTGAACTTATAACTATCAAACCTCCTTCGTCTTATAGCATGAGATCGAATTCGAAATTCTTGCTCCAGAAGACTAGATCAAAACATTACCGACCCTTGGTGATCGTTCGTTTGGATGTGCAGCGCCAAACTTCTGGAATGATTTACTTTCACGCATTAAGCAAGCTGATTCCATTGGAAGTTTCAAGAAGCTCTTAAAGACACACTTATTTAGGAAAGCTTATTGTATTATTTAATAACAAAATAGTGTGATTTTATCAATAATAATATATCTTTTACGAAACTAATAGAATATTTAGTCTATACTGATTTTGAATGAATAGTCTGGATCGTCTTAGGCTAACTATCTTTTATATTTCATATAAATATAATTAGATTTTGTTTTTATATTATTGTTATGCGTATGTGAGCATATTTGAATGGAACTTGGGCACTACAAATTAAATTATTATTATTATTACCAAATTAGAAAATTTCGGATAAAATTTTTGTTTATTGGTATATTTTTCCAAATAATATTTAACGTTATTCAGGGTTTGCTTTTTATTATCCTTGTTTACCAGGGCGATGAATTTACAATTCTTGCGCATGCAGGGGATGGTTGGTATCTTGCAAAGGACAAATATGGGTAAGAATAGAAATTTTAATTACTTTCTCTCATCATCGCAAGATAAGTGTGAACTTTAATTGAAGTTCTTGTTCTGCGAACTTTTTACGAACTAATATATTTTAAATTTTAAATGACCTGTTCGCAGCGACTAATTAAAATTTTTAGTTTTAAAAAACAGTTGAATCAATGTATGCACAGCGTAAACACGAAGCAATAATGAGCATGTTTTGTGATTGGCTTGCTTAAGCAAAAGTCATCAGTGTTTGTGACTGGTTCTCTAGAAAATGTATTATTTAGTTTCATTGTATTTCATTGTTTTAGTCGACCAATCATGAAAGATGCTCATGTAGGTTTGTGGCGACCTTTGTGATCTCGAAAACCCTTGGCCTAACCGGTCATACGAACATGATGTGATTGTTTCAAAAGAATCATAGTTGTAATGCTTGTAGAACAATATATCAAAGAGCGAACGAGCCTTCAATACGAAATTTAAAATTATATACCTTGTACTTTTATAGGTGGATAGGTTATATTCCAGGAAATTTTATGCTCCAAAAAAATGTCTTGGGAACCGATGTGTAAGTTTATAGCTTTAATATTTTTGCGCTTTGTAGATATGTGCAGCACATATACTGTATGCGTTGTCCGAATCAGGGTCGACGAGAGGTTGCGCGGGCCTGCATGGTGGCAAACATTGCCAGGGAGGCCATACACCGTCATAATTGTGAAAGGGAGAGCGGTGTTTTCCAATATATTTCACTTGATTCATTGCATATTATCCAGCAGCTAGCATTCATTTTGTCAGTTAAGCAATCTTGTATCAAGAAATTTATTGCTTTCGCAACAACGACACAATATCCACTGACAAAATGTTTACATGATACATCAATTATATCATAGTTAATAGAATTTATGGTTTGGACACTCATTAGAATAACAACGTATAAATAATTATTTATGTTAGTCAGCGTTTATTCATAAATCTGGTCGTTCGCCGTCACGTGCGTATTGTATTGTTGCCAAATCCACCAATAGCAATTTCCAATTTACCATATTGTTCGAGTCAGGTAACTTTCCTAAAACATTGCTATTTGTTAGTTGGGCATGAAAAAATACAATACGCACGTGTCGGTGCATGAACGACCAGATTTCCGAGTAAACGTTGACTAACATAGATAATGAGTTGTATTGTTATTCTAAGTTTCTAAACCATCTATTCTATTAACTATGATTATATCAAAATATCAAGATAACATGTTAAATTATCAGCACTTTTCCTTGAGTATGGAATGATGACTTTAAATTTCTGATAAATTCGTCCTGGTTTGGCCTTTATATGAAAACCACAATAGCCGGAACATTTTAGCAGAACAAGTATGGCAAACATTTAGGAGTTGCCGCATGTTACGATCCCTGGATTGTACTTGGAATAGAGTGGAAATTAGACAATCTCTATAAACTTGGAGTACGGGAGAAAAATAGCCAACAAAGATGGAGAGTTCAATAAAAGCAATCCCAATTAAAGACGGGGAACAACACAAACAAAAATGACAGTAGCATGGGACACTTATATATGATACATAGTCGAATTGGATAACTAAAACTGAGACGGTATACGTAAATTAGCGAATTGCAAATAAGCTCGCAACGCAGGGTCCTATACACTTTAGTATATGGTAAAACACTAATGCGCCTGATAACTCTACTGCACATACAAGTTGATTATATCTATAAGTTTCATTTTTTATATACTGCAGAGATCTCACTAGCCCGCGTGCAGGCCCAGTGAAGAATAGTGTGACTGCAAGCAAGACCCGTTATTTTGTAAAACGCCTCTTTTCATAACACGCCTCTTACGCGCGTCAATTGTCAAAAAAGAACCAATGACAGCAACCCAAATATTAACAAACAAACTCGCGTTAAAATGCTGCGGGGTTTTCTCTGCTTATTCAGAATAGAAACAATGTGTAAATGGCTGCGTTTTAACTCCAAAAAAGCAAGCAACGCAGTCAGTAATTGCCCAACTTGCAGGTGCTTATTTTCAACTAAAATCGAAACAGTCAAATTTGGACGAATTTCAAAAGAAAACCAGTCTCAAACTTCAAATCGTGAGGGAAGTCGTGCGTCCACATTAGCATTAATGTGTGCTTCGCTGTCGCCATTGTTATAAATAAATTGTCTCACTTATCAGATCGTGTGTGCAATTCTTGTTGGCGGCGGAAAGTACGAAATTTCCGTTATGTCATTTGGTAAAGAACTCGACAAAAGAAAGCGTTCAGAGTCCAGATCGTTTCGTTTCAAACGGCAATTACTGCTTTCTGTTTCGCACTTTCAGCGAAGCCCTGGAAATCGCAAAGTGTTTCGAATAGGCTTACATGCAACTGCCTCTAAATCTTAACCGCGAAAAGCACTGTTTTCTTCAGTGCAAGAACATCAACCAAAAGATAATTTTCTTGAGGGACAAATAACGTGTCAAGTCTGTTTGAAATTAATGAAACTCGAGTAAAGGTTACTAGAGTTTACCCCATGCAGTGGTAATGTTGCTATACCAACAATTCACGGCAATTACATAACTGGAGGAACATTCAAAGTGCATATTGCCTCCAATTCTTCAGCGGAGTCCCAAACAATGATCTCACAGAGTCCAAAAAGCAAAAGGTTTCGTCGTCTTTTTCAATTGGAAAGTAGCGACATCAGTCAAGGTGACAGTCAGAACAATTAGCTACGAATCTAAGTATGTTTGCTATGACTTTATGAATTTGTAATGATTCTTTATACTTCACAGTTTCAGTTCGTTTTTGATCTACTGGTTTTATATACGTACATTTCCGCACTTTGATATGCTTTTAGAGAGACATTGACGGCATTTTTAACTGAACATTCTAATTTGAAATGTGTTAAGCACTATTTACATGTTTGGTTTGAATTTCAGTATATGAATGTCGTTTGTTTATAATAATTAAATTTGTTTATATAATAAACACAATATTATATTGGTTGCTTGGAAATATGGAATTTATTTCTCGTGTTGAAGAGAATATTGCTCACTCATGAACAATATTCTCTTCAAAACTCGAAATAAATTCCGATCCATATTTCCGCGCAACCATATAATATTTTATATAATATATATATATATATATAGTATATATATATATATATATATATATATATATATATATATATATATATATATATATATATATATATATATATATATATATATATATATATATATATATAAACTACACATTATGCCTAAGCCTTTATGCGCACGCTCACTGCATTTCACAGTTTAAAAACGGCGATAAAGCACATAAGTAAAGACATTGTAGCGCCCTTCAAGGAAAGCTCAAACAACGGCAACTGTGGACAGCTGTTTCGCCCTTTTTGGGGCTCATCAGCACAGTGCACCGATGATGAGCTTCCACATACCAAGAATATATATACTATAGAAGACAGTGTGGTAGATGTGGGACACTACAGAACTTTATATACTACACATTATGCCTAAGCCTTTATAATATATATATATATATATATATATATATATATAATATATATATATATATATATATATATATATATATATATATATATATATATATATATATATATATATTATATATATATATATATATATATATATATATATATATATATATATATATATTAACAGACAAATTTTGCATTGTATTTCCGTAGGATTTGTAAATATTGAGTTAATTTATCTATTACATGCAAAGGTTCTCTAATCAAAATCTTGTAACAGGATATGTGAGTTTCAGAAAATGTCTGTTTCAGACAAAAATTATTCAAAATGACTATATGCGGGCTCGTATTGTCAGCGGACATCTTACAGAAAGTGGCCAGTTCTTTGAAAAATGCAAAAGTTTCAATTTTTCACCGCAAGTCCGCGCAAATGCGAGCCTGCAGTACTGGAAGAAAATTTGCTGAATATGACCAGCGTGGGTAACGGTTTATCAAATATTAAATGGGCGGCAGTACAGTGACTATAGTTAAATATAAAAACTTTAGTTTGCATTAGCTTCTCCCGAGCGTGCGGAAACTGAAACAAAGTCGGGGTCGGGATGTGTTTTGTCTGACTGAGCATTGTTTTTTCTTAAATTTTAAAAAAAATTTTTACCGGCTTTTCTAACTTTCAAAAGGTTAAGGTTAGGTGTTAGGGTTAGAGAAGGGTTTGGGGATCGTTTATCTTATAACAATTCAACGTTGACTATAGTCACAGTACTGCCGGCCATTTAGTATGTGATAAACGGTGACCGGCTGTCTGTCATATAGTTGCTTCGAAAATTATTATTCTAGAATTAAATGCCTTACCTACAAACAACAAATTGCAAAAAAATATAATTTAGGCATAATGGACAGGGTTTCCCTAATGTTGGTACAGACTGCATGTGTAGGGTATTAGCGTACTGACTGAATGGAAAATTCAATATTTAACATTGCAATTAAATCTGTTTTGTTCACAAACTATTCAATATGTCTAAGTCTCACAAACTATTCTCACAAACTATTCAATATGCCTGACTGAAAAGTTTGCATAGTGTGCAGCTGATGTTTTAAAAAAATATATAAAATAGTATCATGCTGCACACTACAAATTTTCCAGATTGGGGCTAATATGAGACTTCTATAGTCTTCTCTCTCACACTCTATTGAATGACCACATATCAAAGACGAATCATGCTTAATATTTTGCTTTATATACATATTATTTACACATAAATATAATATTCAACACATGTTGACACCAACAAGTCAATGTTTGTATCAGTGTTCGTTAACTTAACACTTCTTGATCTTTTCAGTCAACCTAACCTGAAGTTCAGGCCCTAATCACAGAATAGGGCCTGACACAAAACCTATCTAAATTGTGGGATTCCCGTCAATCTGGTGGACGAGAAATCTGATTGGTTCAGCATCATGATGGATTTTGATTGGTTGCAAGTTCACATAAACAACAGTTTTAAAAATAGCTCGGTCAAGGGCTCAAGGCGACAATTAATGTAAAGGTCAAACGCACGTAACAAATTCCATTATCGATTTCTTCGAATTTCTTTTCTTTTATGCTTTATGGCAGAAAATAAATCAAACAAACAGTATTTTGAAAGGGCTTCATCAAAATCTTTGACGAATTTTGGACACACGACGCTGAAAGAACAGCCAAACTAGTCATGTATTCGAAAGTTTGTTGTTGACAGCCGAGATGTTCTGCCAACTGGCTTCGCCGGCAAAAGTCTTATTTTTAATATCAGGTCCTACCGGCGTTGTTTTCTGAGCTACATCGCCTTCTTCGTGGTACGATTAAGAATTTCATTGTTGCTGTTGTTAGCCCGTTAGTTGTTATAGTATAACCGCGTCCAGCAAGTTGAGACCTTGAGAAAGCTTGGCAGTCAAGGCCAGTCAAGTCGTGCACAGAACTGACTAATTAAATCTTTGTTTGCTGTTCGGTCAAAATAGAGAAACTGACTCTTAATTATATAAAAGTACCTTAAATTTTTAAGTTTAATTAAAAAGCAAAATGCACACTCTGCGGACATGTTCATGAGAATATAATTTTTTTGTGTAACGAAATCTACAACACTTGTCAATCATAATGCATGTTGTGTCTAAAAATAACATGTGGGCGTCCCACGGTCTAGACAGGTTTTGAGTCAGGCCCTATTTCAAATTAGGGCCTGAACTTCAGGTTACAGTCAACCTATTACTCTAATCAGTGATTTATTATCATTGAATAAATAGACCTTATTTAGAGCCTCCCCCAAGTTTACTTTATGCATACCTCTATTTAATCACAAAGTTAATCCCCAAAGGTGGCCACTTAATTGAGGTTCGATTTTACTAGTTAATTTTGTTAACCTTTAACCCATTAAGCGCCAGCGTTTTCCCCTGCCGAGTAATATCGTCTGGCGTTAAACTGAGCGAAACAATGAAGAAGGGCGCATCAGGGCACAATGTGACTCAAAGAGTTAAATAGGCCTGCTATAATGTTGTCAGTATGATGTAAAATAGTATTAGTATATAACACAACAGGGAGTTGCACATTTGCATGATAACACTCATTATTATACATTGTAGTTGGTAAAAGCAATTTGATTGGCTAAGAGCTTACAGTTAAATCGCGCAATCACGCAACCTACACAAAATTCAGTCACAGAATAAAGATCAATACTGGCCACTTACGTCGGAAGCTTTGAAGTTTATGTCCTCGCGCATGTCGCATGACGCATGTTGGCCACCATTTTCCTAGCCAGTGAATAACATTTTCTGGCCAATAAATACGCTGTACTGGCTGGTTGCTCCACCTTCTGGCCAGTAAACTGCATATTTTTTGCATAAGTAACGACGACACGTTGCACCACTAAGTGACCCTTCTGTTACTGATTTTTATTCTGTGATTCAGTTATATGCTAGCAGATAACTGAGTTATCTGCAAATCAACCCGCGATGATTAGAAGCGGTATCTATTTAACACAAACAATTACAAAAAAAAGGAAAACTAGCAAAGCAAACTTCGGACAAACGTAGAAAAAATGTGAATACGGACAGGTTTTCATAAATAAAGTTTTTCATGCATGCGTTAATACTATGTTTATTATTCTTCAAATGTACGATAAACCAATTATTGAATTTGGTTTTTGCGATATGCAAAATTACCCAGGTTTTGGGTAAGCGTTATCAGTCTCGTCTTCGGCGCGGCTCGGCTGATAACGCTTACTTCGACCTTGATAATTCCGCATATCACAAAACCTCATCCAATAGTTGTAAATTGTAGGTTAAAGTCATATTACCAAGTGTGAGTTACACAGATTTATACATCAAATTAAGCTTTTTCAATAGTTATGTCATGTACATCGGTTTAGCCTGGGAACTTTGCTTTCATGAATCAAGACAAAATGTGATTGGATCACTATTCATGGGAATTTGTTGTTTGTGCAGTAAGTGAGGTATTTAATTCTAGAATAATTTTTGTCTGAAACTCACATTTTCTGAAACTCACATTTCCTGTATCCAAGATTTTTATTAGAGAGTCTTTGGAATGGATGAATTAACTCGATATTTACAAATCCTATGGAATAAAATTCATGAATGTAAATTTTGTAAACAAAACTAACTTACCTAGTTGCCTATTAATGACGGTAATAGATTTTAAAATTTTTATTGATCTGCTGTTTATCTCCAGTGCGGCATAGTTGGATGCTAAATATATATTTAATTCAATAGTTGTATTGATGTCCCACAGCAGGGCCGTATGCGTTTATTTTGAAAATACAAGCTGATCTCGTGCATCTCTACGAACTAAAACTTAGGATATTCTGGATAGATCTAGCTACAAAACCAATGGCAATGAAAGCTCTTTATAATATTTATAATTTTTATAATGTGTATGGTGCATGTATATTACTGTAATAAATATGAAATAATTGTTATATACGCATATTATACAATACCATTAATAAATATAATATTCAAGTTGTACCGCACGCACAGACGAGTCTTTGACATTGCCTACATCGAATGATATACGTTTGATAACAGAAATCTTCAACATAATTCTTGATCATGGAGTCTTAGCGATGCCAAAACGGCATATATCACAGTCTTTATTAATTAACGGCCTCTAACAGTCCGGAGAGCATGTTTAGAATTTACACACAGTTGGCAAGATTACAGGATCTCGTTATTTTATAGCAATTCCACATCTCTATACGTAAGGTAAATCCGTTGGGTTTACGTATCAGACAGGATGCACTTTAACACTGACAACAGTCACGGCCACATTGTTTGCTCGATCGATCGGTCAGTCTAGATGATTTTTACTCTTATATAGCCTATTGTGTTTTTACAGTGAACCGTGCTTTCCTTGCCAAAAGCCTTGTATCGACTGAAATATGATCCAACTTCTCGCTTGACAAATGTAACACAACACTCAATAATGTAAAGGAAGTCGTGTCATAATAAATACGAAATCATTCAGGATTTCTTGTTGCAAATTTAAATTTTATTGTCCGAAACTATAATATACACAACTATACACAAGTTGTAATTTCCAAACGCGCGCCCCTGCCACCCTACACTAATGACATTTTTAATTTACCACGCGTGAGACATGACCACCCCCAAATCCGCGTGAGACGTGGCCAGCCCCAGCCAGAGTCTTTCCTAAACAAGAGGGAAGAGCCTGGGAACGAGGTTGATAGCAAACCTCGGCTCGACTGATAACACTTACCTCTATAATTTTGGATCTCACAAAACCTTCATCCATTAACTGCTTAATAGCAAGCATTCCTATTATTCTATTTTCTAACTATGTCGTGATTCAAAGTGGTTTCATTGTGTTTCAAACCTACATGTTCCACGACAAAGTGGCCGAGACTAAAATTGTGCGTCTTTGTTTTACATTTTTTTACTTTAATTGTATAGAGGCATTAGCGTCACAATTAAATTAGCGTCACTGAAAAACTATCGTTGGTATAATTGAAATTTGTGATGCATATTTCAACGTTTATAATTCTTGAATATAATATAATGCCATAAAAATGACTAACAATATCCCATCGAAGGTTTCATTATTTTTTTATTACACCCCTTAAGGTGGCGTTGGTTCATTTATATTTTTATATTTAACTAAGCTAACCGCTTAGTGTTTTGGATTTATAGTGATACCATAATTTTAAATTAACCGTTCCAATGTTGCGTCACAATCAGCGCACTGAAAATGTGCTCATGAGTTTCCTATCCAGTCTGTTTGCTATGATCTTACGGTGCATGGCTGTAAGGAATCGGATATTAATCGTATTTAAATTGATGCTTGTTTTTATTTGCTTAATTAAGTGCACTTAAGAGAATGTGATTGGAGGTTGAGACTGCCAATGAAAACTAGTGAAAAAACTAAGATTACATTATTTCAGGGTCAAACTATAATTGTTTCCTGACTGAAGAAAATTTGGAAAATGTCTGTTATGGAATCGTGTTGTGAATTGAATAACCTCGTCTTTTCCAGCAGTGTGAAAGATGAAAGTGAAATTCCTTCAATTTTACAATATGAGAATCCAAAAAGTGAGACTGTAAAAGCAAGCGAGAGAGAATGCGATGGTACTATTAAACGACAGACGGTGGCCTTAAATGAACGAACGAACGATTTTAAGGAACTTCAACAAGAAAGAGAAGTAAGAAAAATATATGTTATTCCGTTTTTAGTGCAAAGTTTCTTGGAAACTTTGCAGTATTGAGACGAGTGGTGAAAATTCATGAGTCAGCCATCAAGCATGATAGTGTAAACTTTTCGGGGCTATATGCGATTTATTTTTGTAGTGATTTATTGTACTTAGTGCTTTAAAGGATAGTTAGGAAATTTCAATTGTCTTATTTAAATATTCTTTAGTCCTTTTTACAAGTTCACGAAAATTTCGAGAAATCGTTGTCGTTATTATAAATTTTATAGCCTATGCCTGCTCTAGCTTATGCCTGCTCCAACTGTTCTAGGTTGTCGGCGACCCTATACAGTTCTTGCAGTGTCTTTTTTAATTTGAAACTTTGCCCTATCCTTTGATCCCCCTATTTTAAATAAACGTTGCTTTCTACAAGTTTAATTGAATTGAATTGAATGTGTTTACTTACGGTGGGTTAGAGGAGGAATTGCTCTCTGTATTTTTTCCGTTTGCGCTCTGGGTTATCATGCGAATTATCAGCCGTACATCCAGGTTCGAACAGCACATTTTCTCATTTTCTCATTTTCTCATATGGGGCTTCGGTGGCGAAGTGGTTAGCGCACTTGCCTTTCACCTCTAAGGCCGTGGGTTCAAATCTCAGTGAGAACTTCTCAATGTGACTCGAACCCAGTCCTCATGTGAAAAGAGTAAAGTCAACGCTCTGCCGAAAGTCGTGGGTTTTCTCCGGGTACTCCGTGTTTCCTCCCACAGGAAAAGTTGACAGGGTAGGTTATGCACATAGGTCTGGAGGCAGATCATTAATGAGGTATGGACTAATAGCGGCTGCTCAAAGTCTACCTCGGTCTGCTTCACGTCAGTCCGGTTCTATATATCTATTCATAATGTAACCAGTCACTGAAAAGCCCTGATAGGGAGTGTGCTGTGAAATACCTGTATCTGTATCTGTGGCACAACTGTACATCTACAGATTACAAAATAATGGAAAAGATTATTTTTGTTGCGCTTATGCAACTTATTATCACATCATTCGCTAATAATTGACCTTTCCCCTTCTAGAGATGCCCACTAAGCATGACGGTAGGAGGCTGCACGTTGCTCTCGAGCAAATTGGCTGCAAGAGCGGATGATTTTGTTTTCAAAATATAATGAAAAATTTTAACAACTTTTCACACCTCCAGATAATTTCTGTCTGCAGGGAAACGACTATAGGGAACTTGAAACTACATATAGAGGAAGATCTGTGCAATGATGGCAAAGAAAACGCATTTGCAAGTAGGAGCCATGCAAAGACGCTTCGCGGAGAATCCCTTGCAAAAGGCCAGCCATAAGACCAAAAACAGGTGAATTAGCCTTGTAACTAAATATGAAAATATCGGCTCAGATTTTTTGAAAATTAAGTGTTACTGATAGGTACTGGATGCCTAGTTTATTCCTAACGTATGAATTTATAAAAGCCATTTTTAGCTTTATGAAGAACAACTTTTGTCATGATTTTGTAGGAATTTGTCAGTCAGAGAACTCGCGTCTCTTTGAACAAATTTCTGAGCATGAATGTCGATAATCTGAATGAGTTGCCTCTAGTTGTAGCAAGAACATTTAATAGGAGATGTGTTCTCATGATTTCGTTTGCAATATAATTTTCTATAATTTTTCAGAGAAGTGAACTGCTTGATCAGTTAATATTTACTAGAAATACATGCATGCAATAACCCCTCGCCTGTTTTCAAAAGATGTATACTCAGTGCCGTTGCGAGCACTTCGTCTCAGGGTGTGTGTGAGGTTAGATAGAGGGGGGTAGGGGGGTGACCAAAATGTTTCCAGATGTACAAAAAATTTTCAGGACATATAATAATTTTTCCGAAAATACAGTTGTTTTCCAAATTCACTTTCTCATGTCCTGAGAATTACCTGAATTCTCCTGAAAATCTTCTGCAAATCTACTTAATTTTACCTAACAGTGCACTGGAAATCTACCTGAAATTCCTTATGAGCAATTATCAGGGGTGTTGCACCCCCCCCCCCCAGTGAGTTCCAAGCAAACACTCTGTGATTTATTGTTCCTGTATTTCACCTCCCAAAATATTGTGCATCATACTATACAGCATTTTGCTGTTGTCATGCTCTAGCATGGTTCAAATTTATGAATTTTTATTATATAAAGTATAGTGTTTTACAGAGATTTCAAGCACTGATAAAAATGATAATCTCACATGTGAAATTATTCATGATAATCTCACATGTGAAAATTATCGCCTTTTCAATTATCGCTTTTCTGTAAAAATTATCGCTTTTCATTTAAGACTGTCCTTTATATAATAAACAGAAAAATACATGGGTGGTTGGAAATACCAGATTTATTTTTCGTGTTGAACATGACATCTCACTCGTTCGCTGCGCCCACTTGTTCGCTGCACACTCATGATCAACACTCGAAATAAATCTGGTATTTCATGCACCCATGTATTATTCTCTATTTAAACTACAACTTGACTGGTTTAAATTATTATCAAGTTATCAGTGATTGTAAAAGTTGCAGATAAAAGTGCTTTGTTTTATATTATTATCAAGTTATCAGTGATCGCAAAACCTATATTTATAAAATATATATCTATAATCAGGTGTGCGGGTTGTGATAAGGTGGACTTCAATAATTTGGATTCTTGTACTTCACTTGTTGGAATTAATATTAGAATGTTAGGGTTTGTAATCCAAGTGAGCATATACACATTTTAAGACCTAACCAGGAACGACTGCAAAAAATGCAGCACGAAGTCCTCTGGTAGGAATTGAACCTACGGCCCTGCGATTCCGGTGCAGCGCTCTAACCAACTGAGCTACAGAGCCCAGCTGTTGAGCTGTAACCATAAGTTCATGTATATTTAGGTAATCGGGTATGCGGGTTGTGATAAGGTGGACTTCAATAATTTGGATTCTTGCACTTCACTTGTTGGAATTAATATTAGAATGTTAGGGTTTGTAATCCAAGTGAGAATATATACATTTTAAGACCTAACCAGGAACGACTGCGAAAAATGCAGCACAAGGTCCTCTGGTAGGAATTGAACCTACAGCCCTGCGATTCCGGTGCAGCGCTCTAACCAACTGAGCTACAGAGGCCAGCTGTTGAGCTTTAACTGTAAGTTCATGTATATTTAGGTAATCGGGTGTGCGGGTTGTGATAAGGTGGACTTCAATAATTTGGATTCTTGCACTTCACTTGTTGGAATTAATATTAGAATGTTAGGGTTTGTAATCCAAGTGAGAATATATACATTTTAAGACCTAACCAGGAACGACTGCGAAAAATGCAGCACAAGGTCCTCTGGTAGGAATTGAACCTACAGCCCTGCGATTCCGGTGCAGCGCTCTAACCAACTGAGCTACAGAGGCCAGCTGTTGAGCTTTAACTGTAAGTTCATGTATATTTAGGTAATCGGGTGTGCGGGTTGTGATAAGGTGGACTTCAATAATTTGGATTCTTGCACTTCACTTGTTGGAATTAATATTAGAATGTTAGGGTTTGTAATCCAAGTGAGAATATATACATTTTAAGACCTAACCAGGAACGACTGCGAAAAATGCAGCACAAGGTCCTCTGGTAGGAATTGAACATACGGCCCTGCGATTCCGGTGCAGCGCTCTAACCAACTGAGCTACAGAGGCCAGCTGTTGAGCTTTAACCGTAAGTTCATGTATATTTAGGTAATCGGGTGTGCGGGTTGTGATAAGGTAGACTTCAATAATTTGGATTCTTGCACTTCACTTGTTGGAATTAATATTAGAATGTTAGGGTTTGTAATCCAAGTGAGAATATATACATTTTAAGACCTAACCAGGAACGACTGCGAAAAATGCAGCACAAGGTCCTCTGGTAGGAATTGAACCTACGGCCCTGTGATTCCGGTGCAGCGCTCTAACCAACTGAGCTACAGAGGCCAGCTGTTGAGCTTTAACCGTAAGTTCATGTATATTTAGGTAATCGGGTGTGCGGGTTGTGATAAGGTGGACTTCAATAATTTGGATTCTTGCACTTCACTTGTTGGAATTAATATTAGAATGTTAGGGTTTGTAATCCAAGTGAGAATATATACATTTTAAGACCTAACCAGGAACGACTGCAAAAAATGCAGCACAAGGTTCTCTGGTAGGAATTGAACCTATGGCCCTGCGATTCCGGTGCAGCGCTCTAACCAACTGAGCTACCGAGGCCAGCTGTTGAGCTGTAACCGTAAGTTCATGTATATTTAGGTAATCGGGTGTGTGGGTTGTGATAAGGTGGACTTCAATAATTTGGATTCTTGCACTTCACTTGGTGGAAGTAAAATTCGAATGTTAGGGTTTGTAATCCAAGTGAGAATATATACATTTGTATATTCTCACTTGGATTACAAACTATTCTCACTTGGATTACAAAATATATACACAAAATATATACATGTACTATACATTTGTATATTCTCACTTGGATTACAAAATATTCTCACTTGGATTACAAAATATATACATGCATATATTCTCACTTGGATTACAAACCCTAACATTCTAATATTAATTCGACAAGTGAAGTGCAAGAATCCAAATTATTAATTTCAAATGCCCCACCGGTGCTAAGGTTCGAGTGGAAATGCCCAACCCCCGGGATGTGCTTTACAGGAAAATGGCTGGGCGAGGGGGATGGACACACTTGGATTTGGCTGATGCATTAAAAGTCCTGTGCTTATTCCAGACTGCTTGTCAAATATTTACTTGCTAGAAGTAGAAATTTACTCTGACCACTGGATGAAGAAGACATTAAATAAGTACTGGTCAATAAACAGAAATGTATTTTATTTCATAGTATTACAATTTTATTTTTATACTATAAAAATAAAATATAAATATGCAGCATAGAATATGCAAATTCGAGGCAAAATTATTGTTGAATCGGTTTATTTATAGGATTTTATAACAAATAGCAACTATAAAAGTTTGTACCTTGTCTTCACCGATCGCTTTAT